TGTTGTTGGATGACCTTGGGTCCCTCTGTGCCCTTGGGATTCTCTGGAGGGACATTCAGCCCTGACATTCCCTGCCCTGAAGCCACTCTGAGGAGGGCAGATAAGTGGAATTAAGTTTGTAGGTTAAGTCGGTGGGAAGAGAAGGCGCTGTAGAGACATGCTTTGGTCTTATGATTACTGATTTGTTCCTTGTTCTGTGTGTTTCTCATTCCCGTTTTTGAAGACTCAGGTGCATTGGGCTCTCCGTTCGATGATAATGTGGGCATTGGCTGGGTCCATGATAGTGTATTATTGTCAAAGCTGGTGATATTGTGATGGGATGCAGACAACCCCCCTTCTCTGAGTCATCACCAGATTGTGACTCTGAAATGAATGTTGGAGACAGGACACCCCTCCCCACTCTGGTGAAGGGTGCTCAAAGCCCCTCAGGCCAGGCTGCAGTTCTGCTCCCTTCATTCCTCTGGTTCCTTGGGCAGAGCTCGCAGAGGGAAGCTCAAATAGGTCATTGTAACACACATTGCTGAATGCCACCGAGGGGGGATGGTAAGCTCAAGTCAGGGGAGAGTCCTGTGGTTATTAAATGACAATTGATGGTCACCCATCCTTGGAACCCCTCCATCCTCCTCCCAACTTCAGGGTCCTTTACTAAGAACCCCTCTTCAGGCCTCTCTAGGGGCGGAGGAACTCTGAGATGAGAAGGGATACAGAGGTGGTGCCACTGGGGGCCTCTGTCCTGGGCTCTGCTGGCCCCAGGGTAGGGATGACGGAGGGGGACTCTGCCAAGGTGCCCACATCTAGAGCTCTGGAGGTGCAAGAGGCAGACCAAGTTGGGCCACGAAGAGCTTGAGCAGCTTCCCTTCCATATCCCATGGAGCAGCTTAGAGCATGGAGCCTAGGTGAGGAAGCCTGCTTGAGAGAGGGCAATGAGCCAGCAAATAAACATTTACTAAAAAAGTAAATTGTAAAAAGACCTTGTTCCTGCTGCTGGGGAGCCTGCCAGGTGGTGGAGACAGGGTTGAGGCATGAATGATGGAAACGGTAGGATAGCGTTGGCGGAAGTCAGTCCCTCTGCTCATAGGGGCCTCAGGACACTACTTCTGTGGAATTGGGGTACTAAAGGGGTAACCTAGCACTCCCGCCAAACAACAGAACCATGTGCTGAAGTGGGGACTGGCTGAGTAACCGCCTCGGATCATTTTGGTCAACTTGGGGGAAGTTGCTGCAGTCTCGTTCTCAGCCTAGGCCTTCACAGAGGCCACATCAGTCCCAGGCCAGGCCTTGGCCAGGTTTAGATGAATAATGAGACTGATTGGTCCCTCTCTTCCCACAGGTATCAGAGCCCCCCTTTGTTCCCTGGGGGAGCCTAGGAGCTGCTGGGTCAAAGCCCAACCAGGAATTTTTCCAGGCTGGTTCCTATATACAAGGGTGGGGTGGGGGGGCCTTGGGGAGCACTTAGAAAAGACATGGGGAGTTGGGAGAGAGAGGAGAGGCCACCAGCTGGGAGAAGTGGGCAAGGGACTCTGGGGGGCTGGGGGTTGCTGAGGACAAACTCCTAATTCTGTTCAGAAGAGGAACTGTGAGCCTGGGTTGGGGCTGATGGAAGCCTTGGCCCCCAGCCTGGTGGGAGCTCCGGGCAGCTGGCCTACAGACGTTCCTTAGTGATGGTGAGTAGGTTTGAATCATCACTCAGGCCCTGGCCTCCATCCGCCCCCACCATCTGGGCTAGGGGAGCAGGAACAAGGGCCTCTGTCTGCCCAGCTGCCTCTCCCCTTGGGCTCTGCCAGACTCCGCAGTGAGTGCATACGTGGGCTCCAACAGGTCCTCTTCCCTCTGGGCCACTGACTAACCCCAGAACCACACAGCTTCCCATTCTTAGCCCCACAAATTTGGTGCCAAATACTGCTCCCCAGGGACGCCTCCTTGGACACTTCCCAAAGGACCCCAGTCACCCCAGTCTGTTGGCTGTAGCTCATTCTGAATGTCAGGCCAGATGAGGGCTCCGGATGGGCACATTGTCCAGATGGATATGCTGGGCCCTCTGTGCCTAGCACTGTGTTCTCTGTACATAAGGCCATTGCAGCCCCCCAAATGCCACTGTTTGGGAGATCAGAAATGGGGGGATCAGGGGTAATCTTTCACCCTCTTCCTTAGGCCCATTCCTTCTCCAGCCAGAGCTGGGGGTGTGCAGACAGTAGTCACTAGGGGGCGCTCAGCCACCGCAGGGAAGCTTGGTGAACTTGGGAGAGCGGCGTCTGCGTGAGGACGCGTGTGTCAGTTTGAGTGTGTGTGGGGAGGAGGGGGAGAGGAGGGGGGACCTGAGAGTGTTGGAGTGGGGAGAAGAACAGGGGTCACTCCAGGATTCCAGTAGATCTGTGTTTCCCTATTCCTACCCGTCCCTGTCCGACCCCCATCCCCACGCCCTCTCCAATATTCCAAGCAAAGGTGGGGAATAGCTGTAGAATCCTGTCCGCACATAACCTCACTTTCCTGTTCCCTCCCTGCAAGTACCGCGTGTGAGTCTCCGGGCAGAGGGGGCTAGATGGGTAATTTTCAGGCTGTGAACCTTGGTGGGTATCGAGGTTTCTCTTCACTGGGGTGAGTGGGGGAGACTAGGATTCACTAGGTGTCCCCAGGCGAAGGCAGCGCCAAGGGACCAAGCTGAGCGCAGAGCGGCGGGAGGCGGAGGGTTCTGTTTCCTCCTCGGGGGCGTGTCAGAGGCGGGGTCCGGGAGGGCGGACGGAGCCACCCTATTTAGGCGGCTGGTAGCGGTGAGAAACGCAGAAGCTTGGGGCAGCCGGGCTGCGGGGAGGCCGCGGCTCGGGGGGCGAGTGGAGCAGGCAGCAGCAGCGCTCGGTCGGAAGGCGTAGCGGCGAGGAGGACGAACCCGCGGAGTCACCAGTCAGGGGTCTCCGCACTGGAATTTGATATTCATTTATCCACGGTTTACCCTCCTTTTTTTTCTTAAACATTTTTAAAAACCGTATTCTTTTCCGTTTTAATTTATTTTTGCTTCCCATTCCCCGCTTAAATCGGGCTGACCGTTTGGGGAGATTGTTCCTTTACTCCCCCAAATCACTCCGGATTTTGGAAACCAGCAGAGAGAAGAAAGAGGTAGCAGGAGCTCCAGAGAGAAGTCGAGGAAGAGAGACAGACGGGGTCAGAGAGCGCGCGCTGGCGAGCGAGCAACGAGAGGGACCGGGGTAAAGTGAGTGACCTGCTTTTGGGGGTGACCGCCAGAGCGCGGCGTAAGCCCTCCCTCTCCGGATCCCGCATCGGACCAGCAGCGCTGACGGACAGACAGACAGACACCGCCCCCGGCCCCAGCGCCCACCTCCTCCGTGGCCGGCGGCCGACGGTGGACGCAGCGGCGAGCCGCGGGAAGGAGCCGGAGCCCGCGCCCGGAGGCGGGGTGGAGGGGGTCGGGGCTCGCGGCATTGCACTGAAACTTTTAGTCCAACTTCTGGGCTGTTCTCGCTCCGGAGGAGCCGTGGTCCGCGCCGGGGCAGCTGAGCAGAGCGGAACCGGGAGAAGTGCTAGCCCAGGCCGGGAGGAGCCGCAGTCGGAGGAGGGGGAGGAGGAAGAAGAGAAGGAAGAGGAGAGGGGGCCACGGTGGCGACTCGGAGCTCGGAAGCCGGGCTCATGGACGGGTGAGGCGGCTGTGTGCGCAGACAGTGCTCCAGCCGCGCGCGCGCCCCAGGCCCTGGCCCGGGCCTCGGCTCGGGGAAGAAGAGGAGCCCGCCTAGACGCGGAGGAGAGCGGGCCGCCCCGCAGCCCGAGCCGGAGAGGGAGCGCGAGCCGCGCCGGCCCCGGCCGGGCCTCCGAAACCATGAACTTTCTGCTCTCTTGGGTGCATTGGAGCCTTGCCTTGCTGCTCTACCTCCACCATGCCAAGGTAAGCGGCCGTGCCCGCCTGGCGTTGCGGGCTGCTGCGAGTCCTCTCCCGGCTGGGGACGTGCGTGCGAGCGCGCGCGTGGGGGCTCCGTGCCCCACGCGGGTCCTTCGGCACCGGGCGCGCGGCTTCCCCCTGTATCCTCGTACGTGTAGGGGGAGGGGGCGCGCGCTAGGTGGGAGGGCACCGGGATAGAGTCTCACCGCCCACGCGGGCCCTGCCCACCCACCAGAGTCACCGCACGTACGATCTGGGCCGACCAGCGGAGGGCGGGAGCCGCAGGAGGAGGCCCAGGGGGCTGGGCTTGCGCTGCCGCCGGCTGCTGAAGTTTGCTCCCGGCCGCTGGTCTCGGAAGAACTGGAAGTCCGGGCAGCGGGGGCGGGAGCCGGAGCCCAGCGGGCAGGGGGGTGCTCGGACCTTGGACCGAGGGAGGGCTGAGAGCGTGGAGGGGGGCAGGGCGCAGGCGCGGGAGGGGGCTTGCTGTCACTGCCGCTCGATCTCTTCGGCCCTCTCCTCGAGTTTGGGAAAAGTTTTGGGGTGGATTGCTGCGGGGACCCCCCGTCTCCGCCGGGCCACCTGCGCGGCGCCACCCCGGCTCGTCCTCGTTCGCGTCCCGCTCCGTGCCCGCCCTCCCCCGCCCGGCCGGGCGCGCGCGGCGCGGAGCCGATTACATCAGCCCGGGCCTGGCCGGCCGCGTGTTCCCGGAGCCGCCGCGTCCCGAACGGGGAGCCGGGGCCGCGAGCGGCGCCCCTCCCCCCGCTGGCCCTCCGCGGGAAGGTGACCTCTCGAGCTAGCCCCGCCAGAGGACCAGAGAACCACCCTGTCCCTTCCCGCTGTCCCCAGCCCCTAACCCCTTCCTGTGCTAGGAGGAATTTCCTAAAGCCCCTTGCCCATTTCCTCACTCACTTGGAGGGAAGCCCTGGCCACCTCTGGCCACCCTTTTAGTTTTTCCTCCCTTCTGCCGAGAAGACCCATCTAACCTCTCTCCGGCCCCAGCGTCCAGGGAAAGGATGGTTTCTGTCAGAGTCAGGGTGCCAGAGCCCACCCGGTTGCTTTGTTGAGACTGTGCCTAAAGTCCAGACTTGGTGACAGTCAGCTTCCCTCCCTTCCCCCACACTTCCGAGCGAGCTGCTCGTTAGCTTTTATGAGGGTGGGCCAAGGGAAGGTTTACAGAGTGTCATTGCCCCACTTTACACTTTTTGGAAAAATGGTTTGAGATTTGCTGTGACAGAGGCAGTGTGGGACTAGCCTTTCCCGAACCTTTGGAAGGAGCTCCTCCTGCCTTGCAAACACTTTGTCCTGGTAAAATGGGACATTGAAGCAGGAGCAGGTGGTTTTTTGGAACTCCAAATTTGTCCACCCAACTCGCTTCTCAAAGCCACCTAAAGAGGTCATTGCCCACCCTTCGTCTTACACCTTTCCTCAGCCAGAGTCCCCTTAGAGGCAGACGGAAGGAAATGGGCCAGGGTCCCTGCTGCCACCCAGAGTTCCTCAGACCCTGGCACAAAGACCTTGGCTCCAGGCCTCCGAGTTGGTGGGGGAAGGGGGAAGAGTGGCGTACTGGCCACAGTGTGACCTTCAGAGGCCCCCAGAGAAGGGCACCTGGCCCCTCCCTGCCCAGAAGTGCTCCTCCCTGTGCCCCCTGGCCTTGGAGGGGATGTGAAGTCTCTATCCCCTTCCCTAGTTGGGGCCCAGGAGCAGTGGCGGTCAGAGAGAGAATGTTGGTAGAGGGAAGCCCAGGGGGTGTCCTGGGGATGGGTGAGGGGCTGAGATAGAGACTCTGAGGGGGGGGCTGAGGGAGCTGCAGTTGGAGGCTA